ATAATATATATATATATATATATATATATTATTTCTTTCAGCATTACATTTCTCAGATTCAGACCCAAAAAATCTACAAAGCAAAATGAAGGTGAACAAGAGTCAATGTTTTGAGCGTTGATTCCAACTTAAGGAGGCAATGAAGCTCAGAGGCCAGGTAATGGTTGTCCCTTCTCTTTAACAGAAAGGTTAGTCAAATGTTTTGTATTGGTTAGCATTAGCAGACCTGGTAACCGGTTGGTGAACATTAGAGAGGGTGTAACCAAGTGCACCACATGGGGTTTAACTTGTAGCTATTACCTTTCATGTGGACAAACGAATACAGTCTCAATTGTACATAATAGAGATTGTAATGAGGAGATGAGGAGAAATTAGGGCAAGAATGAAATGTTGGACATTTACATACAAAAGCTTTCAAGGGGTAGGAATACTTTTTGAAGAAACTGGATATTCTATTGACAGATCCTGATCAGATACACAGTGGGGATACTTTGTATCAAAATCAGCAAATATTCTTCTAAAATTAAGCTGCTGAGGCCACTTGATTCTATTATAAACCATGCCTGAGGGCTGATGTGAACCCACAGTGACGGCTGAGGAAGTGAGGAAGTGTCCTTTGCTCTCCTCACTTTGGCCCGGAATAAAATGAAATTCTCTCTGCTAAATCCTGCTGTAAACCAACCCAGCTGCAGTTTTGTTCTATATCTATTCAGGTTTGCAGCGAGGATACATTTTTACAAACATGTCATGTCCTGTTTTCTTTTATCCATCACACATACTTGTGATCCATATAATTTCCTTTCATCTCAGGTGGATTTCAGTTCTTTTTTCCTGCCTCCCCAGTGCAGAAAAAAATTTTTTTTTGCAAAGGGGAGGTTGGAATTGTGTGCCACAAAGAAAGTCGGGACACCTCAAACCAGTTTGAAAGGAGCACACGCCAACGTTAGTTCATCCCAACCAGCATGAATCTACTGTATACGGTTACATTTGGATTTGTTTCTGTGTTATCCCAAATAATGCTCTAAGGAACCTTCACATCCTAGAATATACCCCGTGCTGTCTAAAGGCACTTAATTCTGCTTCTCATTTGTCTGAAAGCATCAGAAAAAGGTTGATGTTTAATGACTCCTAGATCTACTCCTAGTCCTAAGCTTGTGCTTCCACCTCATGCCCTAGTATCTGATGTCTCCAATTATCGTCTTGTGACATTAGGAAGTTGAGGCAGAGGCATTTATTGTAAGAAATAAGGTTAAAATGTATTTTAAGTCCTCAGACAGAGAGATAGAGCTCTGATTTAGGCATTTCAGTATATATATTTATACCTTATCAAATCACACACACTCCCCCCAGGGGAATCAACCCACACCCTGCATAAAGAGCTTTCTCACATTTGAGCACTGAAGCAAGAAAACTCGAGTTCATCAGGGCTATTCCCTGTTAGGTTAAAATATCTTTTGCTGGCCAGATGGATGTCCTGAAAACAACAGTCCTTCCCTTCATGCCATGAAGGAGGCTGTGTAACTCACTCTTATCTTTCATGACCTTCGTTTGGAGTCTGTGAGGCTAAGAAGGGGCATATCTCTACTTTTTTTTACTCCACGGTCTCCAAATTGATCTCTGATACAGGTGTT